ACAATTTTAAATTTAAGACTTAAATTTAGCTAATTGCGAAGCTTGCAGAAAAAAAAAATATATATTATGAAATAAGCTTATAAAATTTAATGAATGTACAGTTAATAAAAATATTTTTTTTTAGAAAAATTAATGACTCGTACGTAAGCTTTATCTAATTATGAGAAGACTTAAAGAGGTAAATAACAAAACCGGAACTAGTATTATACAACTTTTAATCAAAAAAGAAAGCATTCATTGTTCTTGTTTTTTTTTTGCGTATTAATTTGTTGGTTTTTTATATTTTTTTTATTTAAATGATGCATGTAGTAGATGTCTAATAAAAGATTATCGAAATAGCAGAAAAATAAAAAGTAATAATTAAATTAAATCAGTTCATTTATTACAAGGTAATTATAGATAATCATTATTGCCAGATATGTTTTTAAAAAAAACATAAGAAGCCAATCCAAAGCAGAGAGAAAAGTAAAAGCTCAATTATAATTGTTTTCTATTACATATGTATGTATATATATATATATATATATATATACCTATTTATTTATTATCTGTGACAAGAAAATGACAAAAAAAATTATATTTTAAAAAAGAAAATGCTATTTAATAATAATCATACGTAACGCTTAAAATTTGTATCTATTATTTGTTGTATATATATATATATATATATATATAAACGATTTCTTAAAATAAATAGCTTTAATTAAAGAGCTACACATCCAGGTCCACGCCAATGTCAACTGTTTCACTACTTTTAGAAATTCCTTACAAGTCTTATAATAGTAAGTTCTTGACAGCATCGTTTGAAAGAATGAAATATTTGCAAATGAAAAAAATAGTTCATATTTGTAAAAATAAATATTTTATAGCGCTCATTATTTTCAGCTTCTTGACTTAGTTCTTTGGTTTACAGATTTTAGTTTTGAAAATCAGCCTGAATATCTTCGTTGCTAATCTAAATAATAAAGAAATAAGGCAACATTTTGCGGACTTATAAATGCCTCTTTGAAAGCACCACAGATAAGAATCGGTATGCGTCTTAAGGGAATCCCATCTTTCTAAAATGAGCTTTCTTGTCCATAGTCCACACAAGGCATTCTTCGTTTCGGCTCCACCATCATTACAAAGTCATCTGCTAAAACAGTTAACTCTTCTTTCAACAATGCTTTGAATTTGGTGTCTAATATTGTTCGGTATAGTTCTTGTGTCAAATAGTAATTTTTAAGCTTTTTCTAGTTCATGAAAATATGAGCCATGGTTCTTAACCTGTGGGTCACGACCCCACGAACATCTGAAAACACATATCGTTACAGCTATGAAGTAGCGATGAAAATAATTGTTTTGCTGTGGGTCGCCACGACACGGGAAACTGTATTAAATGGTCGCGGCACCAGGAAGGTTCAGAACCACTGATATAAGCATTACTTGCCACGCACCAGCCAACCCGTGACTTATGCATTTAAAAGGTAAGAAAAGAAAAAAAAGGGGGGGGGGAGTTGGATAGTTCTTGATTTCTCTGCCTAGGGAGCAGTGTTCATGGCATACACCGGTAAAGGTTTATTGGATTATATGACTATGACGTAAAACAAATTTGTTTTTCTGTTAGTAAAAACAAACATTCTATAAGTAAAATGAAAATATTCTGTAAGTAAGAAGGCAATATTCAAATGCAGCGTGTATGCTGTGTCCTGAACACACAGATCAAGTCATGACATTCACATTTGATTTGCTCAATAAAAAAGGAGATACTATTTCTGTTCACGTGAACACACACAATTGTTACAAACAATCATATTTGATACACTTTACAATCGCAAACCAATGCAATTTTCAGAATAAATTTGTAACTCTTACTGAATAAAATTGAATATATCTTCTTCTGTCACACATGTGATGAGTTTCACGTATGGCTCAATGGCACCATGGCATGTCATGCTTCTTGCTATTTGCTCACTTTTATGAGTATCTTGTGTCTTAAAAGAAAAAAATGTGTTGCCGTTTGCCTTTATTTGAATATCTCCATAAGTTTTTCTCCGTTTTCACTACTTTTAAATATACTAACTTTCAGGACAACTTTCAAGTGGCACAATTTACAAATAAACAAACACAAAACAAACAAAAAAACTCTCTAAGATCCATTTCCAGTCTCAGATTCATCCGTGGTCTTAGATTCATCATAGCTACAAGTCGATCAATAGCATTTTGCTGTTTAAAAAAAAGTTTCTTCATTTTTATAATTGTATTTACAATCACTATTATATTAGCTTTCCATTTCTTTGCTAACAACAGCATGGCCAGTGATAAAGAAGAATTACCATTTTATTATTGAAGATCGAGGTCTGAAGATTGAGTTGGGTCAGTAGATTATGCTGGGTCAGTAGATTAGGTTGGTCCATGTTGTTATTCTCATCCAACATTTATGACACGAATGCATGGTGATTTGATAATTGAGATAAAATAAATAAGCTAACAGTACAGGCAAGATTGATTTTTTTTAAAACCACTTGGTCAGCCATATGCTATCTATAGGCACGTGTTTATCGTATTAACATCCACACGTATGAGCAGTGCTTATTTTTAGCAGCAATTATAATACACATCAGGAGCATGACCTGTCCACCAAAAACGCCAAGAAAAATCATGAGTACGATGTATCCACTCGACCTGTAAACTCTTCCTACCCACTTGACTTCACTTTCGACTACTGTCATAAAATGTTGAGTAGTCTTTTATGAAAGTCCAAGGATCGTTTTCTCTCTTACTATAGCGTACGCCTTATCTAGGACGTGTTAGTACACCACTAATGATACATTTAAATTGTATTGTCTAATTGAACAGCTACTTATGATTCGTTTCCAACAAAAGTAAAGGGAATGGCTACCTTGAGTAAAATAATTTAAATTACATGTAAAGTATTATTTTAAAAAAGTATCAGGCTAGTTAAATAATTAATTAATGATCTAAATATGAAACAAAACCTGTTAAAAGAGAGCGATAAATATCATTCAATATTTATGTGACAAGTTGTAAGACTACAGTGATGTTCATTTTAATATATTATACACGTAAACTTGTTTAAAAGTGCGTAGGTAGCGGAGGGGTAAGGAGGGGTGCTGGCAAAAATCTTGACTTTCCTTAAGTGTTACTTAACATGGTTACGCCACTGTTTGTCAAAGTAAGATCAAAACAGAGGTTCTAGCTTTTTTTTTATAAAGACTGTTAGTTTGGAGAGTGCTTGGCGTTTATGTGTTTATTTGGAAATATTGTGTTTAAAATAAGTCGGACGATTCAAAAAAAAAACAAAAAAACAATGAAGCTACACATTCATACTTTCTATGCACATGAAAAGGAATGTTGCTAAATTAAATATTCGCATGCAAAGGATATGTAAAAATACATGCCAGTGGGAAACTAGTTTGTTTCAAAAGGACAGAGTAGAAATAATTTTTTATAAAAAACGAACTGTAACAGATCTTAATATACATTATGGATGGTAGCGACCTAAGAGACATTGCATAATCTTTTATTTTTCAAATTGCTACGCATTTTATTTATCTACATACGTGAACTCCCTCACCTTCTAAGCTTTTATTACACGCAGGACGTCATTATGGTGGACACCCTAAAAATGTCAAGAATAATTTTTGTAGATATAATGTGCGTCGTTCGGCTTCGTGAAAAATACATGATTTTTTATTTATTTTAATTTTTTTTTGGGGGGGGGGGTCTAATTGTTTAAAAAAGGTAAAACAACACTGTACTAAAGAGCAAGCTCAATTAGTCGATAAACTGTTTATCCCAAAGGAACAGACCAGAAGAAAACTGTTTAAAAAAACACATAAGTTAACATTGTTCTAGTTACAAATGAATGAGATATACAAAGAGAATTTTAAAAAAAGGGCCAAAGAAACAGTGTTGTGCTCCTCTGGGGAATAAATACTTTCAGCGGAATCGATATAACATATTCCCCATATTAAATGTTATATGATAGTGTTCTGAATATCTATTTTAACCATCTATAAGTAGGCTCTTAGTAGATCATCTTGTTATGCAAATTCGGGTAATCTTGTTCAGTATATTAATGCAATACTTTTCTATTATTACATGTATTGACTGTGTGCACAAGTGCTTCAATTTAACTTTAAAAAAAACAAAAACTAAGAAATATGTCCTTGTAAAAACACTCTCTATTCTTCCTTTCGTCCCTGTAAATTGAAATGATGTATGCTTCTAATAAAGTGTGTGAAAAAAAAAAATGAGATATTTTCTTAAGCTTAAAACAAGGACATGAAAGATAACTTTTTTCACCAAACTCCGCTCCGGAAAAATTATGTCAGCTCCACATCTGCTCAGATTGAAGCTCGAGTTATGGATGGTTAAGGCGTGGTTCATGTGTGGTGAAATTGTGGTAAATTATGGTTAATGGATGGTTGCTGTGTGTGTATAAGTGTGGTACAGGCGTGGTTAATGTGAGAGGTTGAAGTGGTTAATGGGGGGTAAAGGTTGGGGGGGAGGGTAGTCTTGTTAAGATGTGATAAACGGGTAATTAAGATGTGGTAAATGGCGGTTAAAGTGTGGTTAAGGGTTGGTAAGCGGAAGTTGAGGGTTGTTTCAGGAGCGCTTAAAGGGTTATGGGCAAATTTTTATATTTTTTTTTATATCATGTGTTTATTCTTGTCACTTAACATTCAAATTGTTTATGATATTTTTTCCTATCTGCGATTCCAAAATTTTCAAAAATCAAATTAAAAGAAAGAATCAATTATAAAGAAAATATGTTTTCTGAACTCCGGAAGAAACCTTTAAAGTGAAGGACATTTAAACAATGTCAAGTAAAAGGTTTTTTAAAAAAAAATGTTCAATTAAATGAATAGCTCATAGTTCCGTGTTTCTTTTTACATGAAAATGTGAGTCACTCAAACTTGAAGTGATGCGGACGTGTGAATATGACTTTATAGGTTTCGTGTTCATATTGTGTTTCTTACAGAACAAATACAACTGTCTGACAGAGTTTTAAAAATATGTAAATACCAAAGTATGTTAGATTTTTGTCCTACTATTTAATATTTAAAGAACGCTCAATTTATCTTGATTTTATAGCATTCATATCAAATGTCTATATTTAAGTATTGATCAGGAACACACATGAAAATGATCGATATTTTGGCATTCAAGAAGATTTTCTTCATTTACAAAATGAACATTTTCTTTTTTTTGTCTCTCGTTGCACTCTATTTGGAACTATTTCCAGGTAAGAACAATGCGAAGATGTTTTTTGTACCATTTTCTTAAATCGGTCACAGTTTTTATTTACAAAAAGACATAAAATCAATGTTAATAAAAGGCAAAGAAAATTGTTATATAACTACATAGGTCCTACTTATCTACAGACCTTAAAAACATATTCAAAAAGCGGAAGAAAAAAGGGCGAGGGAATATAAATGTGTATACATAAAATTATTAAGTCACCAGATAAAAAGATCTTAATAATATGGACTCTACAATTTTCAAGGTCGCACAATGTGGCGATCTTTCGCTGTCAGACGATTATTAGTACGGCAAATGCTGTTTTGCATTAAGAAAAAAATTTACATTTGTGATTGCTTAAATTTTTATTTGCTTTTTAATATATCCAAGTGTATTTAATGTTTTCAATGTTTGACATTCATTTGCGGACCTCATAAGTGAAACTTTGCTAGTGTTAAATTAGGAATTTATGATTAACATCCCTGGAATAAAATGCAATTTAAAATGGCAGTTAAATATGAATGTTTGTTCATAAAACAAGAATTTATTTTACATCTTCCTCCTTTGTCATTGTTGTTTGGTTGTTTGAGTTACTTGTTAATATTAAACTATTGAATTTGTTAGCATGATATCTACTTTGTCCTGACATAATGCATATATTATAGAATTATTGAAATATATTAAAAAGATTTCTTATCTTTTTTTAAGGTTATATAAATACGTAAGACCGTGTAGAGATTCTTTTAAAGGTAATGAATAATTCCTTAGTGAACTTTTGAATCTTTGAATCAGTCACTCAGCAGATTCATTCGTAGCAGGATAATGGTGAGCAATAGCGCGATATAAAATAACCCTCTCTTTACACCAATGTTGAGATTCTTCAGAGATGAAGCTAGTAGCATTATTACTTACTATGGTTTGTAGATAGACATAATGTGCAAAATCTTCCACCATAATATCAATGGTGGCTTTGTTTGATGTGTATTCTGTCCTGTGGATACGTGGATACTTTGAATAAGCATCTATTATCACAAGCATATGAGATCTCTTCAAGTTAATGGTATGGTCGATATGCACTCAACTCCATGGTTTTTCTGGCAGCAGCCATGTGTGAATACTTGCTTGATAAGGGTCTCTGGTGTTTTTGCACATGCCTGGCATGTTTCAACCATCTCCATGATTTGAGCATGAAGCCGGGGCCAGTAAAAAAAGTGATCTGACTTAAATTAATTTGCTCGAATTGCAAAATTTCCAGTATGAAGGATTTGGACAACCTGAGTTTGTACTATTTTTGGTACCACAATTCTTGAACCATAAAATAGACTATTCGACTCCACTGAGAGTGAGACTTTAATATTTTTAAAAGCTTCTATATTTGATGCATGATTGCTCAAGTGCGCCTTGTTTGTAGAGGACATCCAGCCCTCTTGACCATATCTCAATACTGTATAACAATATATTCTTTGAGTGAATCTTTAACAAGGACTCCTGGGTCTGTTGGTCTGATCTGGAAACTAACTTGTTTGATCATATATACATAATACATGTCAGCTTCACTTTATTCATCATCAAAAATGTCACAAGGCTCTGAGGGTAACGTCTAAGAGCATCCGCATTGCAATGTTTAGTGGACTTCCGGAATTCAATGATTTAGTCAAATCGACAGAAGGTAAGAGTTCACCTGGCTAAAAGAATTTGCTGGTAGGGATGGTGTTCATTTTGCTGTACGAAATATCTTTATCAATGGTTTATTGTTGGTAACCAAAACAATTTTCTCTTCCATAAAGATGTTGATGGAACCTTGATAGTCCAAAATATTTGAAAGTGCTTACTTCTGAATCTCGCTATATTTAAGTTGTGCCACTGTGAGAGTTTTAAAATGTTAACAAAAGAGCATCCACTGTCATCAGGATATTTGTGGTACAGAACACTTCCTATGCCAATATGAGAGGCATTTCAGCTTATATGTCCAGTATTGGATGACAGTGAGCTAGAGCTGTATCAAAAGAGAGCAATTGCTTGACTTTCCTAGAAGCTCATTCTTGTACTGTTTTCCAGTTCAATGGCACGTTCTTTGTAGTTAAATAATACAGCGTCGCGAGTGCATTTGATAACCCTGGTAAGTTCTTATTGTAAAACTGCACTTGTCTAAGAATCGACCGTAGACTAAATATATATCTGTGGGTGCTGGAATGGATATAACGACACATAGTTTTGCTCCTTTTGGATATGTATTTGCTTGATACTTTTTGCCCTAAATATTCATTTGATTGGTGGGTAAATTCACATTTTTCCATCCTGCACTTTAAGCCATTTTCATTCAATTTTTATAATAACTAGCGAAAGTTGAGTATATGGTTTTCCTCATTCTTTCCGCTTACTAGAATGTGGCCCATTTATCTTGCAACTCCAGGCAAAACTTTCGTAAGTTTGTCCATGGTTTCTTTGAAATTACCAGATGCTGAGGTAATACAAAATGGTAAACGTGTTTAAAGCAGTGCACACTTATGTTTGCATAGGGCCTAATTCAATCGAATTTCCTTTTCCATCTTGATCTGATCATAAGCATTAGCTAGGTCTATTTTAGAGAAACAATATCCAGTTGCTATCTTTATCATAAGGTCTTCCGATAATGGCATTGGGTACCTGGGTGTTTCTAACTTGATTTACAGTTTTCACATAGTCTCCACATACCATAAGTTGTGACATTTTTCCTGAGATATAATTTTTTTCTTACTTGGACTACGTAGGTGTCCAGTTGCTTGAAATGTACTGATGACGGCTTCATATGCTTTTGGTAGTTATGCCTTTATTGCATAAGGAACATTTCTAGGTGTCATATCGATTAGCTGTGCATTTGGCTTGAAATTAACCTCTAGCTCAAAGTCCTTCAACTGTCCAAGACCTGGTCCAAAAATTTGAGGGAATTCATTACAGATTTATTTAATGAGTGTTAATCGCTGATATTATTTAATTTATTTGAAAATAGTTATCAATTGAAATATTGAGGTTCTTTTTTGGGGTTCTGCCCAACAAATTAAAGTTGTGAACTTTAATATCCATTGGTGGATAAATTCCCTGCATCAGCGTTTATATCCACAGCTCCAAAGATCATTATGTTCCTTACCACACGTTTACTAATACTTCACGGATACTGGGCTCATTTTTGGCTATCATATTTTTTGCACTACCGATTTGGACATTAAGTTTTCCCAAGCCTCTCTATCGATTTCAAATGTAAATCTCTTTCCTTCTAAATTTATTTCCTGAATAAGTGGTGGAACAGTTTTAATTGGTTTTTGTCTTGTTATTCTTTAATGGTAACTTGGTTTCTGTCTTGGAGTATTCTCTATGTTACTTATACATAGTCTTTCAAGATGTCCTTTCTTATGGCATCAGTGACATATCATGTCTTCATGCATGCAGGCATTTTCCTTAATGTCATTTTCCACCACATCTGTCGCAAAATTCAACAGGAAAATTATGTCCCGGAGAATTTGAAAATGTTTCTGCTGCCAGAAGTTTAAAATTTATGAACTTGATGAACAGGAATTTGTTCAGGGATAGTTTCTTTCGCACACTACCCTGCTTCTTCTGTTTCCGCAGCTATTTCCAATGCTCTATTAAATGTTAATTCTGTGTCCTTCATTCTCAACAATATTTTTAATACTGCTTTGTTCTTCAAAGAAGACGCATAATGTATATATAATATATATATATAATACAAGTTCCAATAATGTTGACTCTATGCTAGTCTCCGGAACACACTTTTCATGCACCCACTCTGTCTACAGGTCCTAAGGGTTCGCTTACCGGAAGTTATATGTTTAATTCATCAAAACATTTTTTTAGATCACTATTATACAAGAATGATGTTTCGGCTCCATATCTTTTAAAATCTATTTGTGTTTATTTTTTTCATTCCACTAAGATAAAAATTGATTTTATGTTAACGCAGGTTAATTCAAAAACATTAGCAAACGTTCCGTAATAATTTGCTTGAGAATTCGCCAGGATAACTCCATTATTTTAATTATGTAAACAGCGCTAACACTTGACTGAGTCGTCACATATTGACGTTCTTTTTTTTTTTGGCGATCTTTTTTAACCTCATCACTCTCTCACTCTAGTGTCTAACTACTGCGACCATGACGTGTCTAATTTATCATAACTCACAAACTATGTCCCTCTCTCCATTTCAGACTTGTCATCAGTTGCTTACCTCACACTTGTACATTAGTGTTTTACTTCTGTGTCTGCCTGTACTATCTGACTTCCCGGTCCTACATCAGCGACATCATCTAGATGCTCTAGATATACTGCTTGAAACACTAATTGATTTTTAGTCGTCCAAATATTCATCTTTACCTGTCCGCGTAGATATCAAGTACAGTCGACCCAAATTATATCGACAGCCCCCGGATTTGCGAAAAATGTTCGAGATAACCGAAAACCAAAAAGGGCGCCATTATTTTAAGAGGGGTTTTAATTTGTCTTCCTCGTGTGCAAGATGTGCGTTTATTGGTGAGAATATACGGAAGCGATCGGCATGCTATAAAAATATAATAACATTTTGCTAAAACAACGTTGCAAATGTGGGGGTGCCACTTTTCCGGATTATCCCGCAATTCAGGATTCGTGAGGCTCAATATTTTTCAGCTACGGATTTTTTTTTTTTCTCTCACTCCGGATTTCCCAGATTGTTTATTCAATAACGGATTATGGTCCAAAAAAAAAAAAAAAGTCGACAGCTTGTTAGACCGACAAGCGGATTCACTATAAATAGATTAGGTACCAATCTATTGGTTTGGAAACCTCTCACTTCTCGCTTCTTGCTGTGTCAAGTTAATTGCGCGGACAATGATATTGTCATGTCACTTCAATTACTACAGTTTGACGTAGGCTTCTTTCTGTTGTATATAAGTTTTCAAAAGCCGGCGATTGGTCATGGGATTCGACATAACATAGGTAGTGCAAATTTCGCCGACTTTTGTGTTCGAGATAGCAGGGTTCTGCCACATAAAAGAATCCAGATAACCGAGGAGAAAATCCTAAGACAAATAGAGCGATTGGCGATGCCATGTCCAAAACGTCGACATAAAAGGGTCAATGAGTTAATCGAGATCGAAAAAAGTGAGTTCGGCTATACCATTGATGTAATTTATTAGAGTGGTTTTCAAATGGAATTTGACTGTGCCAAAACAACAATTCCACCTCCCCCCCCCCTTCTTTTCCCACGTCAGCATCTTTCTTTTTTCATATTATCTTTTAGTTTACAGATATGATAAATGCCACTTCCAAACCTCAGCGTTATGCTCAGTAGATGTGTACAATTCCTTTATATCCTTAACCCTATTACAACATTGTCCCTAAATTTTGAGAATTATCCCAATGTCGATATATTTATATATATAACCACTCATCTATCGTGCTGGGACATAGAAATATGACATGCAACCACACTTATAAATTACAATTTTGTTTAGGCTAACTAACGTTGTAGTTAATATTTCTTTTCAAATATACCCTTTTTAAATGTGATAGGGAAATCTAATAAGATCCTATTAAATAAATCTTACAAAATCCACATTGTAAAAATTTAAAATCAAAAGTATAACAATTTATTTCCGTTGATAGCTAGGCGTATTTGATAATAATTTGCATGTTTAAGTGTAAAATATTATTTTTTAATTATTTCTGTTTGTCATTTTTGTTAACTATTAGTTTCCGAATTGCAATGCATTGGTCATTGAAGCCATCTAAATTATAATTTCAAGGGTTAAATTTGTATATATATATATATATATATATATATATATTATATATATATATACGCACGATATATACATCATCTACATATTAATAGATAAAATATAACATACACAGTTAAACTATAATGTTATTATTTAATTTCGTCTTTTCACAGCCCAAGCTGTAATTACATTTTTAGATATAAGTAAATCTGCAAACATAAACCAGCATAGTTTAACTTTGGGCTGCAATGTGTCCGAAACACCAAGCAATGTGGCGATATCCAGAAAACATCCTTCTCCTACAATTCGAGTTAAAAAGTTTAACCCAAACAAGGCAACATTTCTCTATGAAAGATTTGAGTTAAAGAATGAGAACTGCTCAAATATGGCTGGTCAATACGAATGTATGGCGACTTACGATCACAAAGTTGTAGAAACTAAAACATTAAATGTGTTTAGAGATGACTGTAAGTATACAGTTTATTCAGTTAAGGTCAATACTACGTTATATTTGGTTTAAAAATATTAGTACAAATTAATATTTAAAACTGAAATGTTGGGCCAAATTTATACTCAAATAGTATAATGCATTCTGTATAAATAAGTATCGAATAATACATACTCAAAATTTGACATAATTTAATCTTAAATTATATAACACTATTAAGTATTTGCTATAATTAAAGGTATTCATTTGCAATATGAAATTATGGAAAAAAAACATAAATAATTAAACAATGTATAACTTCTTAATATGTGTTTAATTAACCATTTTTTGTTGTTGCAATTTTAAATAACATATAAATCACATACCCTACTTACACAGGTCAACTTATATTGTGTGATGCAAAACTCGACAACTCAGTGACGTATGCAAATGTTGATGATGATGTAAACCTCACAACCTGCGTATGGGGAGCAAGTGAAGAAATACATCTTGAGCTTTTTTACAATCAAGACAGACATAGTTTAAAATATACGATCTTTCATCATCACAACACGACTACAAAGTACAGAAATATTACAGTTCAAATAATGAAACTTTCTTCCTCTAGCTTTGGGCTTAACAAAATGAAGATCAAACCCGATAAGTATGCAAACCAGAGTATTGTGATCAATTTTCAAATACTTGAGAAAGGTATTTTTTTTAAATTTAGTTTTTGCTTTGCTAAGACTAACAATTGCTTATTCATTTTTTATTCGCCACGATTGAAAAATTCAAAAAATTTAAAAATATTTTTTGTTTGAAATATATTGAAGTTGCCCCGACATAATATATATATATATATACAACAGTAATGGTTAAATGGAGAAAATTCTGGAGTCTGTGTTTAAAAAAATAATAATTTTGCAACTCTAATTGGAAACAAAATTAAATGTAGCAATATTTTAAAAAAATAATTATGATCAAAATAATTCAATTAAAATGTAATTGATTAGATTAAAATCAATGCTCATACTGTCCATAAACTTAAGTTGTCTTCTTTTTTAACTGTTTGTTTTAATTATTTTTCAGGACAATTCGCCTTATGTGACAAGAAAACAAACAACAGCGTCATAAGTGTAACTAAAGAAAGCGCAATGGCTGACTTCTGTGTAATGTCAAAAGAGGGAATAGACAAAATATCAATCAATGAACAAGTTCTATTTGATAAAGTTTTGATATCATCAGATAAATACAAACTAGTTAACACATCGAAGGGATCCAAAACAACATTCAAACTTCATTTTCTCAAACCTTTACAGGAATCCAATCAACATTTTAAAGTACACATTTTTTCCAAGACAAAAACGCGTTTAGAATATCGATTTAGTTTAATATTTCTAAAAGGTATATTTTTGTTTACATTTTACAATTAGATTTATTATTTTAAAATTATATTTTTAACACGTATATATTGACTATATAATTGTCGTGCTACAAAGTAAACAAAAAATATCATAAATCTGCAATAAAATATGTTGTAATCAAAATTGTATACTAAATATATTAATCTATAACCAATTTACTTATTTGGTGATTAAAGCAACTTTGTCGGAATTCACTTTTTGTTGGTCGTCAGCATCTGTGAACGGTTCTTTGTTCAGAGCTTCAATTTTAAAAAAAACTATAAAAAAAAACTGAACAAGCACAAACAAACTAACATCTTGCTTGTTAGCAAAAAGCAAACTGATTCTTAAACAACATCGTTTGAGAAACTATTCAATTTTGCCTTGTAATTAAGGATCAAATTCAAAATGGTTCAGCTTTTCGAAAATGTGATTGGCATCTTCTGACGCGTTTGTTTACGAGTAGGCCTACTAACAAATTATGACACATTTTTACTTTTAATACAGGCTTAAATTCTTCAGCCTATTATATTTATTCGTTTTCATCTATCATAATACTGGTTCACAATAGCAGAAAGTAACGCTGTTTTATATGCTTACAGACCATCCTGCCCTGTGTGATGGGACATCTACAAACACTGACATATTTGCTAAAACCAACAAGGCCACTACTGAAATATGTGTAAAACCTGGTGACAACATTTCAAATATAACAATAAATGATTTTAAAATCTTTGATCACGGACTGATTCAATCTTCACAGTACACATTGAGTAACAGAACCGAAGATGACAAGATCTATTTTACAATCGAAATTTTAAATTTGACAATGTCATCTCCAGTCAAGTATGTTGTAAAAATTGAAACAACATCTAGTCTGCAACTTATGCTTCAGTTCAACATAAAAATGAATTCAGGTATGCATTTATGAAATATGCAATTTCTAAACTGTGATACAAAATGTGTAGTTTGAAATGTATAATATTTTTTTTTTGTGGATATAATATGTAAAAATAACGATTAAATTGTAATTCTTGATCGTTTTTTTTTCTTTCATTTTTTGGCTATTTATTATATTCCACAGTTAACGAAATAACGCCTAATTGTTTCACCACGGCGAATGCTACATCCCTACACGTAGTAAATAACACAGTCAACATTTACTTGTGTGAAAATGAAACAGTCACCATTTCCAACTTGAAGGTTAATGACCGTCCCATCAATGACACTTTATCAGAATACACCATTAAGAACAAGACAGTTGGTGACAACACACAAGTTGTTGTCGAGTTTAGCAACTTGAAAAATGGCATCGACCGTAATGTTTCTTTTGGCGTCATAAAACTTTCTGGGCAGAACATTGGATATTTCTTTAATTTACCATTCCACAATGGTATGATCTTTTAGTATTTTACAAAATTATGTTGCTGATTTTAATAATAACAATCAATTAACATGTGTATGTTTAAACTACAACACAGTCATATTATTTCATTAATAATAAAACTTTTGGTATCGTTGGTTTTTTAAAATTATGAGGATAAAAATTTAAAAACACTTAACATTTAAATTATTAAAAGGTGATATGTGCATGGTTGATGTTTCAAAGGGGATTTCTTTTTGTTTTTTTTTAATTACGTTAAAAAATAAAATAATTTATTGCACATCTGTGAAGACACATGAAAAACGTAAAAGAGAGTACATTCAATATATTTGATTTATAAAAATAATGCAAATTTAAAAGCTTATTTAATCCATGTTATCTTTTTTAATTGATTGATTTCTTGATTGACTAAAATTATCTTAAAATGCTGTCCGACTTTTTAAAATAAACGTTGTCATTCTTCAGTCTTTCAGTAGATCAGATATTATGTCCATAAATTATGGTAAGCTTTTAAATAGTCATTTTAATTTTAGATTGCTTATATAATCAAAAAAACACACATGGCCAAATTTCATTTTCAGAAGTTTCAAAAGCTTCACGTAACACTATCTACAGCTGGTTCCTACTGCCAATATTAGGCATCGTCATCTTTTTGGTCATAATAGCTCTCATTGTCTATTTGAAGTTTAAAAGTAAGTTGATTCTCTTTTCAGATTGTGTAATTGATTTTTCTTACGTTTCTCTGCATAACATTTGTTCGTAAAAAAATGTGAACACATTTCCTAATAATTTAAAAAAAAATATTTATAATTTATTAATTTTAAAAGGCAAACTCATTTTAGTCCTGATATACTTAATAGAGATAATCAACTGTGCCAGATACAATTTAACAATTTTTTTTGTATTTAAAATCATTTTTGAAATGTCAAAACATGATAAATATTTGACATTATTTTTCATAATCATAAAAAGGTCTCAATTTTTTTTTCTCCTGACACATTGTATATGTAATATATATATTTAGATTTATTACTTGAAATTGATCTTGTATGACAATGGGGATGAAAGATCACGTGAGGGGGCAGTCGGCAGGAGCATCATTTTCTCAATATTGAGCATTTGAGTTTAAAAAAAAAAAAAGAAATACTGCAGTGGGTTTGGGTACTGCGTCGACAAGGATTAATTGTCACACATTATCTACCCACCTCATGAAATAAAAGAGGCGCGTAGTTAATCAAATATATGTATTCATAAATTTTTTTTTTTTAATTTTTTTTTTTTGTAAATTGGGATTATAGCAAGAATGCTTTTTTTTACAATGTAAAATCACACAGGTAAGAAAAGACGGCAACGTTACGGTCAAGCCTATGACAACGTGACGTACAAGAGTTCCGAGAGCATGATACGGCCGGGTCCGCTGCCTTCCTATCGTGGGTCAAGTTCAGCTGCTGGTCGCGATTCAAACCGCACCAAAGGTCAGGAAGAAGAAAACTTGTATGCAAGTATATTTTTAACTTTTGTGCTTGTTCCTTAAATCATACAGAACAGGACGTTTAGAAAAAAAAGAACAACACATAAATGTGTGTCTTAAAAAAATCGTGAAATTGCGTGTGTATGATTCTATATGTAACTGAATTAACAGATAGATCCGTTTCACTTAAAAAAATTAGCATAATCCCAATTCTGCAAAGGGCGTTGAACGAAATAAGACATCTAACGTCGCAAGTTTGTGTATTCACTGTTGGACTATTTCAAGCCAATAGTTTGGTAAATCAAACAAAAATTAACACAAACAAAATAAAAAATTGCGTATTAAAATTAAGCCGTATCTTACGTTTCCTTTGGGCAGTGGGCTGAACACAAGGCCCGTCTGATTCATTGTGTCGCCACCAACTCTATTGAAACACTAAAATCTTAGCTTCTGACAGCAATCTTCTGTTTGTCTTTAAAAAATAAGTTTAATACCGAAAGAAATTTAAATGGTTTAACGTTAGCAGGCAACAGTTTATTTTAAGTTATATATTCCTGAAAATATATTCCTAAAAAGGAGCTCATGTTTGGTTATACCATTTAGAATAATTATATTATTTTTTTTTTCTTTCGATTTCAAAAAAATGTGGCTTGAGTTTGCCAAATATGTGGTCTTTGTTAGTTTGCTTTTTGTCTTTGATTTTTTAATTCACATAAGGCGAATGGAATAACATCTTTTACACCCACTCACACACAAATCTTTACGTTTTATTATTTTTTTTTAAATTATTATTTTAAATGAAGAAAAAGACAAAGTATATTCCAAATACAGCCGCTGCTCGACTTAAAACCTATTCAACTTACGACCTTTCGACTTTACGACCACAATCACTAGCCTTTTTAGTATTAGATTTCAGATTTATTTATGCCTCAATTAACAGTCGAACGGCGTTTTATGGCATCGTCGGCGGTCGTTAGCTAAGGAAAGGAAGGCATGTTGCTATGATGATGCCATGCTGTTAGCCGGCGGCATCAAGTTCTAAAAAAAAATAAAACTTTCACACTTAATAACCCTAGGTCCATTGACTTCCCCAAGCGCGGCTAAAGCTTGTTGATTGGAGAGTTCTTCGGAGTTTAGAAATTAGAACTCCAATCTCCCATCGAAAATTATTATTTTTAACAATAATAAAAGACATTTGTGTGATAATTTAAATTCAATAATTTTATAACATCACTTCAAATAGCTGTACACATAAAGTAATCAACTTACGACCAAATCGTGTTGCGATCGGACTTTCGGAACCGATCGTGGTCGTAAGTCGAGGACTTGCTGTAATTACTTAAGAAATACCAATGATTTCCGCGATATCCTCAACATCTGAAGCTACCTTACTAAAAATGTAACTTAAAAAATAAATTAGTAACCATATATATCTTATATATATATATATATATATATATGCGAAATTGACATAAATTCTAAATCGATACATATCACGCTTTACAAAAAAGTATCTGTTGAGACAGGAGTAAATAGGTAACTAATAGCTAAAAGAATTATATTACTTTATTTCCAATTCGCTTAAGATGAATTTGTATGTGTGTGGTTTAACCATATGTAGTAAAACGTATCGCATACCAAAAGAATGTTCTAAAGACATGGCATGCATCTCCCAGTCCCCCCAAGGAACCGACCATTACGTAAATGATGACGGACTCATCTACGTTGTCATGGGAGATTTCGATAAACGGAAGTCAACAAGCAGCGTCAGGACCAACAGACAGAGGGTGCAGTACCAGGAGATCGACTTCAACAAGACTGGACAGATTACCATCACAGAGGCAGAGCCAATCACCCCCATGGAGGCAGAGCAGATCTTCCTGACAGACACGGAGCAGGTCACAAACACAGAGGCTTGTCAGGTCACAAAAACAGAGGCGGGACTACCAGAAATTGTTATTGTTTCATTGTAAATTTTTCATAGGTGTAATCAAACCTTGTTTTGTTTATTTTGATGAATAAGCGATGTAAAAAGTTTAGTTTTGTAAAAGTAATTGATGAGTTTGATGAGAAGGGAAAAGAAAAGAGGGCGTGGGACAAGACGAATCGATGAAAAAAACAAACAATTGGGTATATTTCGTAAGTTCTTCTGTACACATAGATTTACAAATTTGCTGAGGACTATATGAACACTGAGTGTCGAGTCAAAAATATGTTTAATGTCTTACATATATTTATACACCGATATTTTTTCTTACATAAAATTTAAAAAAAAAAAAACGCAAAAAAATTATCATCTGGTAATGCCATATATTTTAAGGGGAAGAGAAAAGTAGGTCATTGTATACATACAAATAAAAAAGTCCCACAATAGTGTATCATAACTTATTGTATTTCACCTCTAAAAAATGTAAATTGTATATTTAAATATGTAAATAGTATAATACTTTTGAGAAAATATCAAGCGAATTTTCTTTAATCATGTCTTGTATATTTAATTTTGCATGTTTTCTTTTCTTATTTATTTATTTGATTTTTATGCTTTTATAATTATTATCTGTATAGGGCATTCTTATTTTGTCGAAATAATGTTCATTATATGAAGTATTTTTTCTTCTTATCTTTTAGAGCAAAATGTTAAAACATGTTTATGATGCTCCTTTATAATGTAACTGTACATTTTATTTTTTCACATAAACTGACACGCGCATGGTGAAGATAAAAAACATTATTTTTATTTTCGAATTACGCTTATAGTTTTATAATGTAACTCTAGATCAGGTCTGCACAACACTCGGCCCGCAGTTTAAATGTGACACACAAGCATCGACTTTGCGGCTCGCGAAACCCGAAATATTATTGTTCATTATTATTTTCTTGATAGCTTTCACCACTATCCTATTTTCTTTCGGCCGTACAAGTTTTTAAAATGTATTTCAGCCCACCCTACTTTTAAGTTGTGCAGGCCTGCAGTAGATAAGTTAATAAACATCAATGTGTGTAAATAAAACAATGTATTTATCATTTTGTATCCATTAATTATCTTGAGATAAAATTAACACGTTTAAAACGATGTGGCTGATGTCTGTATCAGTACAACAAATAATAGTGATACAATTTAAATGTTAAATAAAATAGTAATATCTTACATAGACTTTTCACTGCCCCCCCACCCCCCCCCCGACCCAGCCTATCTCACTTGACGCGTGTGCTCCACTCACAAAGTAGTAGTTAACCAAAGAGTATTTTTGTTGTTGTTTTTTTGTTTTTTTTGTAGAGGAGAGGGTAGGGGCGTTCGGAGAATGGAGATCTAGGCGGAGCTTATTTTGATTCATCCATGTATGAACACATTTATTTCAAAGCCTCACCATTTTAGCCTTCATAGAACATTATCTAAGCATGATAATTCCATTTGAAGAAAAAATCTGCAATCAGTGTACTACCATCACTATATTAAGCCAGGGGTGAACTCTCAAATGCTTAAAAAATAATATATTTTAAGCTCCTGGGGTAATAACTTAATTTGAACAAGAGACAGACCGAAAGTGATTTTCTGTTTATGGCGGAAACCGAAACCAGACCGAATGTTAAAATGACATTCAGCCGAAGTCGAAATCTAAATTTTAGTTTTAATGAGACTTTCGAAAGATTTAAATATTTCTAAATTCATTAGTGCATATGTTCTGTGTATATTAATAATTTTATTTGGGGGGTGTGGCAGGTATCGATATTTACATTCTTTGTATCAATAAATTGTGTTGTCAACTTTAATAGATAAATATAGGATGATTACTTTGGCCTGAAACCTCTCAAAATTTAAAAAATAAAACATATTGTAGTAGTAGACCAATAAACATACACTATACTATATCCAATAAAATAAAAAAAAAAATATAACATCCAAGGCTTAGCAAACTTTAATGCTCTGATTTAAACTATAAGTTAACACAATTTATGCATAAGAATTTAATTAAAACATTGCATAAGACTCCTATTCATAAAATGTGGACACTATTCTGTACGCTTTGGCAAGTGATTCACTTTGTGCATATTCAGCTTTTACTTTTGACATCCGACCTTGCAACAACTCTCTCTCTCTCTCTCTCTCTCTCTCTCTCTCTCTCTCTCTCTCTCTCTCTCTCTCTCTCTCTCTCTCTCTCTTTCTCTCTCTCTCTCTCTCTCTCTCTCTCTGTATGGTCGTGTATTTTATTTTCTTTAATAAAAAAAATGTATATTTTCCTCTTTAAAAAAAGAAAACAATTATGCCACGTGTAAAAGAATATTAGCAATGTTTAGATTCGGTTAATGTTCATCTCTTTACTAAAGATACAACGTGTCATAAGATTGTCCTGCCTAATATCCAATTAAAACCAGATTCAAAACTTAAAAAAAAAAAATAAAGACTTGGGGAAAATGGTTTATTTCAATTACCGAGATTGGCGTAATTCATAGGCCGACCTGGTAGATGTTTACACGCATAGATTCTGAATGTAGTTACAGTTACAATAGGATTACCACCTGTCAAATTAGTAATGTTAGCTAGGTTGCAGTTAGTTCTACAAATTTCAAAAACTATTAAGGAACAGCAAAAATTCTCAAAAAAATTATTCTCTTTCGAAATGACAAGATTATGAAAAATTAAGATTAATTTTCAGACGATCGTCACCAGGTAGGTAAATTGAAAGTTTTAGCTTATCGGCATTAAATAAATACAAAGATAAATTGAAACAAACTGACAATAAAATTACAGATCGATATGTATTATGTATATTTGGAACTACAAAAAAAGTTACTTGTGTTTGTATTTGCCATTACTCCATCTTCATAAAAAATCTCCACAACGTAATGGCAGGGTCCTTTTTTGAGAGAGATTGCAAGAAACACACTTTACAAAAAAATACCTATATTTTTTGCAATATTAATGGAAACATATGTAAACGATTCATTAACATATATACATACTAGTGGTTTTACCAAAGATCCTCTATACTGATTTCCGCTCGGCAAAAAAACTCGACAAGTCTGCAAAGTCACGGGTGGCAAGAATGTGGCGTTCAGTGGACACGATTTCTATTACATTTGATATTGCCTTATACATTTATAATCACAATTAAGTTTGTATCAACTTTAATTTTAAAATTACTGAGGTTGCCAGCATTTTCAGAGTTGCAACATTTTGAAATGAATCTGCAAGCAACGCATGAATTAAAGACACCCTAAAGCACTTTCTAATGCTCATGTAATCATTTTTCTGATGCGCTTTCGTGCGTCTAGTAACTCACATATTCTTGTGAGCGTTCTGAGATTACCCTTTTATGAGCACGTTTATTACCTTCTTTAACGGTTGAGAAGATCCATATAGCATGTTCCTTACGTATGTCTCTCCCATCGCACTGGCCTGCCCCGAAAAATCTACAGAGGGAAATTCTGGGGCCAGCTTTATGTATTCAGTGGTCAGCCATTCTTGTTTGATTAATTGTCATTGATTGGTGCATATATTTCGTGTCTGCATTTGTGGTGACAAGACCAATGTCTGCTTAAAGTTACATAGCTAGTGTCTTCTCATCTTTGACGTTAAAAAGATAGTATGGGAGCAGTACAAGGCTGTACATTTGACTATCTAGAACATCCTATTGTTGATTTGATTAATTTGGCCATAGTAAATACCGCATAAATCTGAACTCACTCTGAGGATTTTCATATAAAATATATACAAATAAAATTGCATCTGTGCCACATCTTATGTGTGTGTAAACAGTAATCGACCATATAGTTTGGGCAGGGTTTATATTCTTTCAAAGATTTGACCTCCATAATTTAACTATAAATGTTGAAGTTTTGGGAATTTCAGATATCTGAAACTGTAAAGTATATTTTACCTTAAATTAACACCCCACCCCCTACAAATTACAACTTCACCTGTGCGGCCTGACAAGTGTTAAAATAGATTCATTACTCTGTTAAAATACCTAGGAACGGTATTTAAAATACAAAGTTACAAATAAAACTTGTGGAATACTTAAGTCACACAAAAAATTTGTTTTAAATACAATAGTAGGATTAGAATGCAAAAGACATACCAAGACCAACATGAACACTCTTTTTTTTCTGCCTACTTCTGCAGTTAATGCCTGTAAGAGACTGCTTTTAAGGCTATGTTGAACTTCTTCTGAGTTAAACCACGTCAGCTCTATAATTGACGTCAACATTAACAGACGTAATTTGATCTTGGCTAAAAACAGGCAATACAGTTTAAATGGATTCAATTTAATTTGTATAAGTCATCTTGGTTTGAAAAGAAATTTATTCGACGTTTGTGAATCAATTTACTCGAGGCCATTGTTACACGGAGTTAAGGGGCGTTGGTTGGAGTGGGTGACTCCAACATTGGATTGTTCCCAGGTTGATACAAGAGATGAGTAAAAATTGATAGCAAGCTACGCGTTAGAAATGACTCACCCGTCAATGGAGTCTAGGCGACCGTTATCCGTCTTTTCTTTCCATTTTGTCTTATACATCATTTTATCTTAAAGCAGAGCTGGGAACCTTTCAAATCCCCTGTTCGTCTCTGTTTGGAGACAGGAGGACGCAAAACTATTTTACTGCGGAGGTGGCACAGGGAAATCTTTCCACCCGAAGTTCCTGGCTCCTGATGGCGACGGAGTTTGGTGACTATAGTTAATGACAAGTTGGTTCAAGACCCATAACCAGTCACGACAAGCTAACAAGAACTTTATTAGAAAATAATATTTTATTAAATAATTGAATTATCAAGAAACTCCTTTCTAGCAGGTATTGATAAAATATGTATCGATAAATTATTTCCTAACTCTAACACTTGACTTTCAATGGCTCTATCCTTGACTATGTCTATCCCATCATGAAACCGATCACGAATATCTAACTACTTTATGTCACGAAAAGTTATAACTTATATTTTCTCTATCTGCTTCATCTATTGAGTGGATTTGTATAAACGTTTCCTTATGTGTGGGTCTCACGCCATGCTGGCCTACCCCGAAACATCTAGTGAGGGACATCCGGTCAAGAGATGCTCTAATGTTTCCATGGGCCAGGCTGCAGTATAACTATTAACATTACGTATTTCACCATTTCTAAAAGTAATATCTACAACGTTATCTATTGATCGAAATAAAAATATATCCTGAAAGAATAAAAAGTTTTCTTGTTTGTCTCGACCCAGGATTGATATTTTAACCTACCCTTTCTTCGCTAATAGGGGATTTAATTTATTCAATGGTAAGCT